TATACGTACATCCCAGTTTTTGTAACCAGTATCAAAATTGAAGAATAAGCCCCTTCTTTATCGAGTTGAGATTGTAAAAGAATGAAGTTCAGTGATGCTAAAATTTTGCCTATTGAAGAATCATCTCCCTTTTATTTTAATTTTTTTTTAGTTTTGGGTAAAATATGAGTAACTTGTTAATTCTATTAGGTTACTTTCCAGATAATAGTGAGGCTCTCCATATTTCATAGCTTGATTGTCCTTGGTTGTAAATCCCATTCTTAAGCTTGATTGTCCTTGGTTCTATATGAGTAACTTGTTAATTCTATTAGGTCACTTTCCAGATAGTGGTGAGGCTCTCCATATTTCATAGCTTCTTTGGCCAGAAATCATTACCAGTTTGAGGGTTTATCTCAGGTTGATAAAAGTTTTGTGAAACGATATGTGGGGCCTTGTGTTTCATGAGTTGCAAAGTTTAGGTAGGTAATTTTTTTTTTTATGTTGGTGATAGTTGATAATTCTTTCTTGTCTTATGTCGTAGCTAGAGATTTTCTCTTCTCATATAGAGTCCTACTGTCTCTAAATTTTCTCATATACTGTCTCTAAATTTTCCTTGCTTCCTTTGGTCTTTAATTAAGAATACGTTTCTTCTCGTAGCTAGTGATATTATTTTGCAGGACGCCTACACCCATTTGCAGCATCAATAAATTACTAATGGTTAAGTTTTTGCATATATTAATGAATTCAGATCAATATATTTTTTAAATTTATCTGTTTCTTTACTTTCCTTATAATATTTAGCTCCCTTTCCCAATCACTTGCTCACTGGGCTAAACTTAACATCCTACAAGCTGTAGATCATGACCTTGATTGAAAATAATCACCATAGGATATATCATCTTAAAAAACATTGACATGATTGAACTACATAATTTCTTTTAGGTCCGTTGAGGATCCAAATGGTCCAAGGAATCGTTCAATTGAAATTGTTTCAGATACCTAAATTTTTAGGATTATATTTACCCATTATTTTTTTATAGATTTTATAACATATAATTATTTAAATTATAACAAAATATAATAATTAATATAAAATGTTTGAAATATAATACCTAAATTTTTAGGATTTGATTTACCCATTATTTTTTTATAGATTTTATAACATATAATTATTTAAATTATAACAAAATATAATAATTAATATAAAATGTTTTTGAAATATTTAAGTTTATATTTAATGGTTATTTATAGATTTTATAATATATATAAAAAAGATATATAAAAGACATATTGTAGATTTTAAATTTTATAATATTTCAATTTTATCTAAATTTTCATTATCTTATTGATAAATGTAAAGTGTAGGGATGTGATTTATCATAATTCGTCATTATCTTCAAGATATTTGCATATATCTAAAATTTCATTTCCCTCTATGTTCAAAACTTTCAATGATTGATATAAAAATACTCAGTGTGCTTAACATAAAAAATGCTAAACCTACTAAAACAATTTTAGAATTTGTACTCAATTTTCTACTTCGAATATGTCAATATATATTAAAATTAATTTATTTACCACTTCCAATAAATTGATATTTCAAAATTTTTTTGAAATTCAAAATTTTTGAAAATAATCCTTGATTTTTAGAACTAAATGAAATTATTTGAATAATATGAGATTTTGAATAAACAACAAATTATTATGAGATCTCGAATAAACTGTAATTTTTAGGAATTTTTTATAATTCCTACAATAATTAATTCAAAAATTGAGAATTTTAGAATTTCCAAATTTTCAAAATTCCTAATATTTTTTGTTATTTGAACATTTAAAAAAAATTCTAAATTTCTAAATTTTTTAAAATAAACTATGATTTTGACGAAATTAATTTAGAAATTCAGAATTTTCAAAATTCCTAACAAGTTTGTAATTTGCAAATTTGAATAACATTAGATTTTAAGAAATTTTAGAAATTTACAAATTTGAAAAGTAAATTATGATTTAGAAAAACTCTAAATTTTAAAAATATATAAAAATAATAGGTTTAGATTTTTGAAATTAATCTGATATTCAATGAATCAGGTTCAAAATTTTTAATCTAAATATGCATAATAAAAACTTTTCTTTATAATAAATTCAGCGTAAAAAGGGTTTACAGGAGATTATAATGAAATTAAATTTTCAAAATCACATAGTGGATGCTTTTCCGATCTCCAATAATCTGGTATGACGATCAAAATTCTTATAAGACATAAGTGGTGAAGCCTTTTTTTTCCAGGAGAGCCAAAACACAAACATTTTACTGTGCATCAGTAAAAAAATGTTCAAATATGACAATGTGTAATTAGCAAGTAGCTAAAAGAAGAACTTAAAATAAAGTGTTACAAAAAAAGGAAATATTTGCAAGAATACTTAAAAATCATTTCAACTCATCGTTGATCAACATTCTTCAACTTTCTAAAATGTCTTTGTTTTTAAATACATCATTTGTACGTAGTTGATTTTTCTATAAATTATAAATTGTAATCTTTTTTAAGGCTTCACAAATTGACAACACATTGTATATGATACCATTATACACTTATTTCAAACAATAATAAGAAGAAATGAAACAATGTTAGCTATCACATTTATAAAATAATTGTAGAAATACATGAAAATATAAAGTACATTTCACACATCTATTTTTTAATGTAAAAAACTTTGTGAAACTAGGAGAGCCTCATTTCACAATTTCATCACAAAACTATAAAACCATATTATGTTGATTTTGATGTTGATTTGGCAACTATCTGTGATCAACCACTACCAGGATGATGAACATAACAAAGACTAATTTCAAATACTTTAAAGATTTGAGGGACCAATTGAAAAATATGAAGATTGGGTGCCTAATTTCAAATATGTAAGATTTGGAGGATTAATTATAAATATGAAATTGGGGACTAATTTTAAATACTAGAGATTTAAGAGACTAATATAGAATTTAAAAACTCATATATCTAATTTGTTTTTAAGAAGTCAGGGGATCATGGCCACCCTCGGCCCTTGACTCCGCAATTGTATGACATAATAGTGTTGAAAACTACTGCATATTTGAAAAATTAAGCAATTTTTACTCAAAACCTCTGACCGTCATAGTCTGCGTGCCCTTAAGCCATATATATATTTATTTTATTTTATTTTTGAAAGGAAGAAGCAGGGTGAGAACCTGCTCATATATTTATATAATTGTAAATCCAAAACTGAGGTAAATATATACAATAAAAACATAAAGAGGAAGAAAAAGTGCCAGGAGAAGAAATTATCGGTTGGGAGCGGACATTGTCGTCACCAACCAGATAATTTTTGCACCGACTCCTAACTTCCCAGGGAGAAAGCGTAACAAACTGAAAACAGCAACAGAGGGAAAGATGGGGGTATAGTTAAGTTATTACAAAAGATCGAACCAAAAAAACCAAAAGCTAAAGTTCTGGAGGAGCCACCACTTTGAAGCACCAAGATTAGCTAGGAAAATTATCTCCAACATCATCCTCAAGACCAGGTTTAGCTCACTGTTTGAGTCCAAGCTCAACCGCAGCACTGTGCATGAGGGAAGCTCTTTTGCTACTGGAGGCACATGTCCACAAAAGAGTGAATTGAGCTATATTAGCAGCTATGATGTGAATAGGTGTATGAAGCTTGTCGAATATGAGCTTATTCCTGCAATACCGCTATATTAGCAGCTATGATGTGAATAGGTGTATGAAGCTTGTCGAATATGAGCTTATTCCTGCAATACCATAACCACCAACAACAGCAGGGAAGTAGGTGTATGAAGCTTGTCGAATATGAGCTTATTCCTGCAATACCATAACCACCAACAACAGCAGGGAAGGATGACTTTCCATAGAGATTTGATGTTCTTATTGAGAAAGAAGTCACCTTGAACAGTGATAAGTGAGTCAATCCCTTGTTGCTAGTAACCAAACTGGCCATTAGAGAAGAGAAGAGACCAGACCGATCTAGTGAAGGAACAATCATTGAACACGTGATCATGGGTTTCAGTATCTGAACTGTACATGGGGCAAACTATATCCCCTGTCCAACCCTTTTTGACTAAAACATCTATTGTGTTTAATTTGGGCAAACTCAAGGACCAAAAGAAAATTTTCACCTTAAGCGGAGTGGACTTCCAGATAAATTTATGTAAATGATAGAGAGTGTCTCCTGAGTTAAGAATAGAATAGAGAGATTTGACAGTATATTTGCCTGAATGGTGATGGTGCTAGGAAATCTCATCTCTGATGGCAACTATAGGAGAATTAACAGACTCAAGCTTAAGATATAACTGTTCAATCTAATTTCCGTCTTCATCTGAGTTGCCTCTTCTGATAATGGAGTGCCACTTCTAGGAATTGTTGATGAGAAGGCAATGACAACTGGTGGCAGTGGAATTGGCAAAAGCAAGCTGATGCACTCTGGAGAACAGACTACTGAGGGTGTTGTCTCCCGACCATTTATCTTGCCAAAATCTATAAAGTTTACCATCCCCTAATTTCCATCGTACCAAATGAAAGAAAGGGTCATGAATAGAGAATAAGTCCTTAATCAGTTTAGAAGTTGAGGATCTAGGGGGGTGAGTCATAGGGTTAGAGCCATTAACAGAGTAAATAGACATGATCACTTTAACAATATAGGAATTTCTGTCAAGGATCTTCCAAATCCATTTAGATAGCAAAGCTAAGTTGAAAGGTTGCAGATTAATAACACCTAGTCCCCCTTCAACCTTAGCTTTGCACACAGTACCCCATTTAATCAAGCTTTTGGATTTAAAAGAATGTTGGTAGGTGCCCCAAAGAAAGTTACGTCTAATTTTGTCCACAGCCTTGAGGAGCCAACTGGGGAGTTTAAAATGACATATAATATAAAGGGAGAGAGGATAGAACAGAATTCACCAGGGTGAGTCTATCCCCTATGGAGAGGGACTTGTTTTTCCATAAAGCCAACTTTCTAGAGAAAGAATCTAGAAGAGGTTGCTATTCCCTTCTAGACAAAGAGTCTTTTTTGAGAGGAAAACCAAGATAAAAGAAAGGAAGAGAGCCGTTAGAGCAGTTGAGTTTGTTAGCCAAATGAACACCTCTGCTAGGAACTTTTCCAAGGTAGAAGAGGGTGGATTTAGATGGGTTAATATGGAGACCAGAGATGCTACCAAACATAAACAAGATAGATTTAAGGGTAAAAATATCTTTGTTGTCAGCTTTACAGAAAATTAGTGTGTCATCAGCAAATTGGAGAGACCTAATAGAGTTAAACTCTCCTTTGAGATTAAGATTAGGAAGATCACCAGCAGAGAAGCTGGCGGAGATCATCTTATTGAGCACATCCACCACCAACAGAAAGAGCATAGGCGAGAGGGGGTCTCCCTGTTTGAGACCACGGTGACATTGAAAAAAGGAAGATGGAGAACCATTGACAAGAACTATAGATTTAGAGGAGGAAAGGATGTGGGAGATCCAGTGGTACCATCTGGGGCTGAATCCTCTGGCTTTGAGGAGAGATAAGAGAAAACTCCAATTAACACAATCAAAGGCTTTGAAGAAGTCTACTTTAATTGTGCAAAGTTCCTTTTCCCCTGAAGAGCAACTGTTGATCATTTCATTTGCTAGAAGAATAGAGTCAAGAGAAGATTTTCCGTTTTGATATGCTGATTGAGACTGATCAACCAGAGAGGGAATACGGGGCTTGAGACGGTTGGCTAGGTTTTGGTGAAAATCTTAACAGAACTATTAAGAAGGCTAATGGGTCTGAAGTCAAATGGAGAGCTTGCCCCTTCCTTCTTAGGTATGAGGAAAATAAAAGAAAAGTTTATGTTGTGAATGGGTCTAACATCATGGAAAAGAGATTGAATGAAGGATATGACATTATTTTGGATAACAGGCCACAATTTCTGAAAGAACCGCATAGGAAGGTCATCCGGTCCTGGAGATTTATTTGGGTGAAGGTCAAAAACAACATTGTGGATTTCTCTGAGGAGAAAGGATCATCCAGGGAAGACAGAAATAGAGGATTGGAGGAATAAAGATAACTCCAGTTTACACTAAGTTTGGAAGCTGGTTGCTCACTGAAGAGATTGGAGAAGAAATCCTGAAAAGCATGTTTGATATCCAGAGCTGATGTCAGGGTTAAATTATTATGAATAAGGTATGGAATAAAATTGATTCTTCTACGATGGGAACCTACTTTGTGGAAGAAGGCAGAATTATTATCTCCCTCTTTAAGCCTCTTCCTCTTTGGCTAAGGAGAACAAGAGATCTCTAAGTTCAACTCTAGAAGTAAGTTCAGGAGCAGAGAGAGGTCTGGCTTCTTCCAGACAGTTGAGATGATGAAGGTCAGAAGAAGCTTTAGATTTAGACAGGGATAAATTACCCAGAACATTTTTGACCCACCACTTGATTCTTCTTTTCATGAGTTTGATCTTAAGGGGCAGAGAAGCAGGGAGATCACCTTGGACAGAGAAAGAAGACCAACAAGATTGAACAAAAGGAAAGAATGATTGATGGATAAACCATGAGTTTTCAAGCCTGAACACATTAGGTGGAGGAGGACCCCCTGAGTCCAGAATGATGAGGCAATGATCTGAGCATGAGGAAGGAAAGGCAAATTGGGCCAGAAGGGGAAATTGTGATTCAAAAACTATAGAGATAAGAAATCTGTCTAGCCTATCTAGAGATGGATTAGCTCTAAAATTAGACAAAGTGAACTTCCTACCACTTAGAGGAAGGTCAAAAAGATTGATGGAATTGATGAGAGAGTTGAAGGTAGAAATCTCCCTAATAGAACCAGTTCTACCACTTCTCTCGTCAAGGCTTAAGGTCACATTAAAATCCCCAAATACCACCCAAGGCAAGGATAATGATTGATGAATTCTAACAAGTTCCCACCAACAAACTTCTCTATCTTCTTTATCAGGGGGGCATAAACAGAGGTAGCTGCAAAAGCCCAGTTAGAGGGTTTATGAGTAAGGAAAACAGTGACAAAAAAATACATATATAGGAGTCAGAGCAGTCAAATAAGGACTCCGTCCACACTAATGCTATACCCCCTCTAGAATCCAAGACATCTAAAACAGACCAAGCAAATCTACTACTCCCCAAACTAGAAAGGGTTCTAGGATTGGAGGAAGAGAGCTTGGTTTCCTGAAGACCCACAATGTCTAGCTTAGCAGATATGATATAGTCTCTTACTAATCTACGTTTAGCAGGGTTGTTAAGACCTCTTATATTCCAAGAACCAATCTTCATATTAAAAGATAAAAGCCCAACTTTGAACAACTTGAACCAATAAAACGGAAAGACAGACTGACTTTATGGTAAGGGTATGGACCCTTCTTTCTCCATGACTTGAATGTCAGAGAGACCTGCTGGATCAATAGTAAGGAAAAAATCATTTTTATCAAAAAAAGTAAAAAATTATTTTGTAATAGCCATGGGCTGAAATGGAATGTTTGCCGCTGGTATTGTGTTTTGGAAATCCCATCCTTATTCTTAAAAAAAAAAGTTAAAATAATGTAAAAACCATTGATCTTTTATGAAATATAAAAAAGAATTCGTATTATTTTCCTTTTTATTTGTATTTTTCCTTTTTCAGCATTAGTTTGGATTCTGAACTGTTGTTAGGCAGTTAAGACACATGTGATTGTGTATCATTTAATTGCAGCAAGTCAGTGGTTATGCACTTGCCCTGTTGCTCGTAGTTTTCTCGTGCCTTGTCTCCACATATATAACTTCCATTAGCTAGTTAATTAGAAAGTTGTAGCTAGTGACTTCCATGTGACTACTGTTTCTTGATTTGCTCACAATTTCATGATGATTTTTGGTAGAACTTGTGTACCATTTCTATAATCCACTAACTACAAATTCCAAAAATTCTTCTCAAAAGCCTAAAGTATACGACATTGTCTGAGATGCACATTGCCAGATGCTTACATATAATAGATCACCATGATTAGATTTTGATTTTGATAAAACACATCATTATGCGCTAACCACCAACACGTACGCTTAACCACACTAAAAACGCCCTCATCATTGTGCTAAAAGCCAAAATTCACTGTTCGCCTTTGAGGTGGTATAGAAAGCAACAAACTCCTGAGTTTAAGTGCTAATGATGCTTAGTCAAGTTAAACAAAGGCTATTGTTTGTTCTAGGAGAAAATCATGTGGATGGCTAGAACAGTTTTCATTTCAAATTGGAGATGCAAGTTACTTTATATACTGCATGCAAGTTAAATTTTTAATCCAGTAATGGATATTTATTTAGTGGATATGATTTTTTTAACATGAATTAAGCACATATTTAATCTGACGATGTTCTTAAAAAAGTTAAATTTGACGGATATAATTTTCCACTAGACGAAACAGACAAAAACATCTAATGATCTAGAAATTCTTAGGTGCTCATCGAGCACCTAAGTGCCTACACCCCTCCAACTGGAGGGATGCACGTGGCATTAGAGGGGAGAATGTGATCACATTCTCCCCTGTAATGCCACGTGCCCCCCTCCTATTGGAGGGTTGTATGCATCTTGTCTACTCCATTAGTAAGTAAGAATTTTTCCAGGTGAACGTTATTTGACTTTGTTGAGTTATACTTTGTGTTACTTGGTATCACATTCTCCCATTCTAATGTCACATGTCCCCCTTCTATTGGAGGGGCGTAGGCATCTTCTCTACTTCATGAGTAGGCAAAAATTTCTCTGGGTGAACGCTAATCGGCTTTGTTGAGTTGTACTTTTTTTTTTGCTCGTTATTGAACTCTTGCTATGTATTAGGTCTTGCTCCTCAATAATTGAGATAGTTCTAAATGTACATAGAATAAAATAATGTTAGGGGCACACCCCCTAACACACCACCAACCACACCCCCCTCTCCCATGGCTACAGTAAACCGGGTCCCACATGAGATTTTAAAATTTTTAAAATCCCATGTGGGGCTCGGTTTACTGTAGCAATGGAAGATGGAGGTGTGGTTGATAGTGTGGTAGGGGGTGTGCCCCTAACACCACTCCATAGAATATGTATCACTTGTCACTATGTATTACTTTTTTTCTATTCGACAATAGTAATGCGTCATTTTCTTGAATAATTTAGACTTTATATATGCATTCTGTACAAATTTTTTGTTTTTTTGTTTCCTTCTAAAAAACGTACTTTTCGTTATACATTAATAGTGTCCTAGCTGTGGTGCTATATTACTGTATATTTACAGTATCAATAAAATCGTAAATACTGTTTTCAGTAGACAAAAAAATGATAATTTAACTCTGCTATCATGTCCAACTAAGGATTCTTCCAGCAAAATCAAGTCGCCCACATCTAGAACCTTCTCCGTATTCTTTTATTTTAGTTGAAAGTTACGTAGAATTTTAATATTTATTTGAAAATCAAAAATTCTAACACATTCTTAGATTTAAATATGTATTCATTTACCAATTGGGAAATATGAGTACATCAGTTCATTCCAGCTTTACTGGAAGTAACAAAAAAAGAGAAAAATTTACATTTGTTCAATTTTCTCTTTTATGTAGGCGGGAATGCCATCATTTAGTACCTTTGCAAGAATAGTAAGCTTCACAGATCTAAATACAGTTTCAGGCCCTCTTGTAATGGATTGGAAGATCCTCTGATTTCTCTCCTGCCATACTGCATAAACTGAAGCAGATAGAGCCATTCTCTTAAGCTTCTTCATAAATCCCTCACCCTTCAACCTCAAGATATACCAATCAACAACATTGTCCTAGGTACATGATCTTCATTTATAGTTCAGCCAGTCCATGACTCTATTCCATATATTTACTGAATAATCACATTCAAAAAATAAATGTTTGCAGGTTTCCAGCTGCTATTGGGAACATAGGACGCAGATGTTTGTGTCAAGTATCCTCATGCGACACAGTCTTTCTTGAGTTAACAATCATTGATGGATGGCAAGCCATAGAATAAAAGAATGCTTAGGATAGTGCCACCCATCCCAAAACTGTTTTAGACCATAGAGTTTGTGCATTTTGATGAATAAGCACATTGTAAATAGAGGAAAGATGTACCTTGCTCTCGGAACAATTCCCTGCAATGACATTCTATACATTTGTCACATTGCCAAATTTTCCAATCATCTTATCCCTGATTTTTATTATCTGCTTCCACATCCAAGAGTCATTAACTCTTGCTTGAACTTGCCATATGCTAGTTTGCCTTAGGTAGTTCTCATGAACCCATTTAATCCATAGCATATCCTTCTTCAAATGAATCATCTAAAGAAGCTTCAAAGTCGCAGCTTGATTCCAGAATTTAGCAGAATATATTCCCAAACCACCATGTTTTTTACTCTGACAGATAGCTGACCAGGAAACTAGATGGATTTTGCCATTCCATAGAAAATCAGAGCATAAACTATCTATTTTCTCCAAAACTTTTACTGGTAGGATGTAGTTGTTTGTCCAGAATAGATGAATACCCAATATAACTGATTTAATAAGTTGCAGTCTTCCAGCATAGGACAGAGCTTTCTTCTTTTGCCAACATTGAAACTGTTCAGATATCTTATTAACCAGGGGGAGCAATCCATGCATGACAGTCTTTTCGAGATCAGAGGGACACC